GCTGGACTCCTTGGCCGTCTCTCCACAACGCAGCGGGACAAGACGCTCACATGCAGGTCTCAGGCTTAGCCTGCGCGCGGGTTTGTGGCCTGAGGGCTGCTCGTTAGGCCTTGGCATTTGGGTCTCAGATGGTCTTATGGCCCTCTGCACAGGTCGAGAAGGATCCGGCGAAGTCCTGGCTGCGACAACCACAGGAAAGACAAAGCAAAGGTCTTGTGAGTCAGCGCCCAGGATCGAGCCTTCCTATCCCCTCCTAGGACTCCCTCTTTGTTGAGAGCATGGCCCTGCGGACGTGTCCATTCAAGTGCACGGCTTCGTACATCCCCAAGAGCCCCTAGGGCTTCCAAGAGTCCCAAGAGTCCCAGGCAACCTCAAAGAAGAGGAAGGTCAACATCTGCAGAGCGCTGCTTCACCCCCTCTTGTTTCTGTTGATGCTTGAGTCGGAGTGTGCAGGAAGGCGCCATACCGGAGCCTAAGCTCTGCACTCTGACCGCCAGTATTCTTGGTCCGATCCGAAGCAGGCCGCAAGGAAGCTGGTGGCCCCGAGCCTGGGGCCTTTTCACTGACATGGACCTGCCCTGGCAGTGATCAAGTAGCAGCTTGCGCAACACTTTGCAATGGTCTGGCGTACAGCAAGAGCCCCGACGACTGGAACAGAAGCGGGGCTGGGCCAGCTACGACCAAAGCTGCGAGCAACGGAGGCCGGCACAGGATCTGCACTTGAAGGTGGCCTTGCCCTGACCCCGAACAGCCTGAACAGCCTGAACAGGTGCGTACGGTAAGGGAATTCGCAGAGCTAGGCAGGTGCGGTCGCCTAAATTCGAGACACCTCGGCTCTCCAAGGCATCAGAGAACACGCCGCCAGCGCAAGCATCCCTCCAGGCGAACCAGCGCCTGGTCACTGACTACGCAGTGGAGCTGCACAACGAAGCCGAACAGGTGGCCGAGGCGGTCACTGAGATTGCTCGGTGAAACTGATGTGGACCATGTGAGAGTTGGCCACAATGCCGAACCCAAGACCGTATCTTATGTGGCATGTAGGGACTTCCATAGGACATCGTTGGATAGGCCGATTTCTTGGACTCCCATGACGAGACTACCATCACCACTACAACGCTCACAATCCAGGCACAGCCCGTGTGAGGCCCTGGAGCCACTCACGCTTCACTCAAGATTGCGAGCCTTGAGGGGCCGCACCTTTCAGCATCAAAGAATGTGCCCGAGATGCCCAGTGGGGCCCAAGTGCGGCATGGTCCCCTTGTCATCCTTTCTCTCTGTTCAGAACGTTAAAACACCATTCCACGCCCAAAGAAAAGGACGCCGTTGCACCATCCTGATAGATAGGGAGGACGCCGAAGCAGAGGTGGTCAGAATCCGGCATCGAGTCTTGCAGTGGCGCTAGAATCATCAACCGATGTTCATGGGTTCAGCTGGCAAAGCATGGCGGAAGCTTGTCTACGACGGGATGGACGTGGACTTGCCTTCGGCTCTAGAACCGAGGGTATTTGGGGTTTCGGATGGCGCGGAGGTGAGTAGGACGCCCGCTCAATGGACCTTAAGCCTCCACGGCCTCCACGTCTCTGCGTAGAAGAGCCTGGTCGTCCATTAAAGAGACTGAACGCTGGCGAACGCCGGCCCCAGGACAGGCAGGCATCATGTTTTTCTGCAGACATGCTGCAAACCTTTGCCCCTCAGACGCCGAGATAGCACCGAGACAAGGCAAACTCAGCACACACCTGTCCATGTCATGGAAGTGATATCGACTCGGCAGCCAAAAGGGACACATCCAAGCGTGCACCTAGCGCTCATCGTGAATCATGCAATCTGTGCCCGTGCTTTGTAAGAGCAAGCCTCTCACGCCGACAAGGTCAACGTGTGAGAGCAACGCTCTCACGCCGACAGGTCAACATAATGCACCAACCGGCATGCAGCGAGGCGTTGGAGACGGATTCAGCAATCGCGTGCTTTAGCAGTGGCAAGGTGGGTGAAGCTTAATGACCTCTGCAACCTCTGCAACTCCCTCGCATGCTGCGGTTTGCTGGCGACTGCAGCTGCAGCAGGCTCAATGCAACGAATTGCACAAGGTCGCACGAGACGCATACTTGCGGACATTGCAGCCCACAAAGCACAAAAGTTCTCAGGAGCGCGGTTGGAGCAGCTGGACACTGCACCCTGACTGCAAGGTGTTTTGGAATGAGGCGGTTGAAGCTGTGTATGCTTTGTGAAGGCATTGGGAAGCCAGGCCTGTGTTGCAGATGCAGCCGGCATAGCCGGCATAGCCGGCTGGCTCGGTGTGAACGAGGAGGACCTGCAAGAGTTGTGCCCCCCAATGAATGCCACAGCTGCTTTGACTGGCGCTGGGTGGACACATAATGCGCTTAGGTGGAGATGGTTTTCCAGATCACTTGAGCCTCAGCTGAGCCGCCACCTTCGCAGCCTTGCTCACGTCGTTGCCTTGGCTGCAGACCTTTTGGACGCCCTTGAAACAAATAGACATACGAGCAGTCTCCAGTGCTGTCCGGTGTTGTCCACAGCTCGTGCACGGCGACATGTCATCTGCGACGCCTGAGAGGCTTAGAAGGGCCGTGTCCCGCGGTCGGAGACTTTCCTTTGAACATTTCTGAACCATCCCAGCCCCTACAGCCACCAAACGCGACATGTCACGCACCACGTCACACACTTGAAAGCCCTAGCAAACTCCAGGCACAAACTTCTCTCAGCAGCTCTGGATAACCCAAAAGGCCCCCTATGTCTCCTCCAATTCTTGAACAGACGCAGTGACACACAGTCTACTTCACAAGGCTGCGATGCATGCCCTGTCGTGGGGAATGCAGTTTCGCATGCGTGCTTGAGCGGTGGACCCGAGAGGGGTTCGTCTCCTGTCAGCCGTTTTCTAGGACGCAAGGCAAGGTGATTTCGTGATTTTGTGAATCCGCACAAGGCTTCTCAGGAGCTCTTCTCCACGATGAGAGCCGACGTGAGGAGAAAATTGATTGAGACCCTTAACTAGCGAACTGGAGGCCAACGGCAACAGGCCGCCACAAATTGTCCTCTGTGCCAGCCGAAGAAGAGGCGACAAGGCCAACAACAGCTGAGGATGCCGTGTCTGAGCTTGCTCAGCCAAATGCGTGGAACAGTGTTTTTCATGGCACCTCAAAGGAAACGGTGGTTCTTAACTCCTTCCTTTTGTCGCGGGCCTTTCAGTCATGGGAGGGTTGCCAGAGCAGCACAGCAAGGCACCTTGGCAAGACAAGGTCGCGCAGGCACAAAGGCAAGGCAAGGCCAACACCCATCACGGGAGCCTGAGAGCTCGGCTACAGGCGAAGACGCACGTAGCCGCTGCCGCGGCTGCCGCGGCTGCCGCGGCTGCTGCGGCTGCTCCGGCTGCTGCGGCTTTCCCGGCTGCCCCTGACACAGCTCCAGCAGCTCGCCCCCGACCAAGGCGAAACATTCCCCGAGCTCCGGCGCGCGAGACTGGCGGTCCGCAGTGGCAGCGGTGGCCTGAGGGGCCTGGGTTGCTGTGAGTTGCTGCGCACTTGACCTCTTACAATCCATGAGCGCAATGGGACCTCCAATAAGAGACAGTAAAGCCCAAAGCCAAAGCCCTGGCCTTCTTTGCACAAGGCACGGGGATCATGGGCAACTAACATTCCAGAGCCGATCGCAGATTAGCGACCATGCAAGTGCAGGGAGTGTCACACCGAATGGGGAACCTCTCGTCAGCCCTCGGCTTTTGAAAACTCTGAAATTGGACTCGAACAGAGAATGGACGTGCATGTGCAATTGCAAATCCCAGGGTCCCAGGGGCCAGGACCAGGGAAAAGCAGGGGCCTGCCTTGCGCCGATGCTCTCAACCCTGTCAAGGCCTGCCATGCAGAAGGGTGAGGGTGACCTCTCCGGGCTTTTTCATGGCTGCACTCGTCGGACTCCTTTTCTTGCATTCCCTGAATGTTCCCGGAAGACTGCAAGAAGCTGCTTGGGTCTCAGTGGAAACCAGCCGCCGGACATTCCCGCAGATTCGGCCCCTTCAACAGGTCACTACGTGTGACCGGGCTCAAATGGCTGCTTACAGCTGCCCACGCTTTCCGCGTAGCACGTTGGCAGCAAAGCTTCGGACAGACGAAGTTACAGAAGTGTGGTAAAAGGAAGCTCTCGCGCTCTCGCGTGACACGCCATTGGCCCCTTCCCCCGATGGCTCAAGGCTTGTGGAGAGCTGAAGTCAATGCTGTGGCCATGGCGATCAAAAGGGAGCCGGGTTCAGTCAAGACGGCCAGAAGTACCAGACTTGCCAGGCGCCCGCAAGCAGAAGGCACGGAAGCCACACAGGGCCGAGAGGGCGGAGAGGGCAGAGAAGGAACAGAGGGTGGCTTTCCAGGCTTTCCGGGGATCGAGGCGATTAGCAGCGTCGTTCGGCCATGGCCTGGAAGGCGCACTGCCTTGTCCTGCTAACACTTACGTCCCCTGCACCTGCATCACGGTGTCACGCACGGACTTGGAAGCTTGTTGGCCTTCGCCAGGCGAAGCTCCAGGATTACAAGAATCAAGGTAGCCATGGCGCTTGATTGCAAGGGGTCGGCATCAGCTGCAACCTTGGACCGAGCATTCCGAAGGGTTAGGAATGAAGAGACACAGCCTGAAGAGCCTGAAGAGCCTGAGGAGCCGGAGGCCTCACCGAATTTGCACCCTCCAGCAAGCTCCAGTCTCAGTCTTGTTTCGTGCTACTCAACACAAGGACATGCGAGAGCTACCAAAGGCCATGGCCTGAGAAACTGCGGAAAAGGCACGAGATCCGCATCACAACCTAGACCTAGGCTTCTCGCAGATGCCAGCCTTCAGTAGCAATACCAGCCTCCTGTGCCCTGCAGCTTTTGTCCTGCGCAGAGCGTAGTGCACAGGTGGCGGAGGCAGAGTACGGATTGTGCCGAAGGTTATGCCGAAGGCGAAGACAGAGCCGAAGAACTGGCCGGGGCAGGGGCAGGAGCCAGGGTTCGCCTGGCCGCATGCAGCTCACGAGGGTGGGTACGCTACGGCACGCTGCGGCGCTTACAGACACGCCGGCAGGAGATGGCACGAGTCTTCTGTCAGGTCACCTGTGGGCCGACGTACAGGTCGTGCTTTGGCTTCGCGAAGCCGAATTCAGAGCATTTTTGGAAGCTTGCAAAACGTCCAATGGCCGGCGCCCGTGGCTGACTAAAAGTCAGGTCAGGGTAGAAACGGGTTGTAGCCAGATGGAAGCCAAGGCCGGCAGCAAAGAGGTCTCCATGCTTTCCGGATCACCGTTGGCATCCCTTCTGGCTTGCCTGGCCGGGAATGACTCTAACAACTCGAACAGAACCCTTCTGAGCTCCAACTTGGAGCAAAGAGTATCTCCGAGTCACTGTCACCACCAGGCTCCAGCTGAAAGCTGCTAAGGCACCACGCACCCCACACATTCCACAAGAGCGCAACACCAGCATCGGGAAACTGTCCAAGCACATGCCCCGAACAGCTTAGAGGCTTCGGGCATGGCCCAGCGGCAGGCGCTGAAGGCCCTGAATGGAGCCCAGGGCGTCTGTGAACGGGTCTTAACGTAAAGGCCTCGAGCGGAATGCTGTGCAAGTCAAGGCGCCCCGTATTCTGCAAAGGCGCCCGTCGGGAGGACCCTCTCCAACCCTTGAACCCAGAAGTGTGGCCGCATCAGGTTCGTCGACACAGGACTTTCATGCAACTTTAATTCACATCTTTGGAAGCTGGCTGGACACTGCAAGCGCAGCGTGCCATACCCTTGGCACACAATCGGCACATGGTGGCTGCTGAAAGAACGATACGTGCCGCTGACGTCCCTCGTCACCCCATCAGTCCCTTGTGACCTTCAGAGTTCGGTCTCATCTGCCGTGGTCAGCCAATCACCCCAGACGGTCTTCCCTAATCGCCCTAATCCTTGATGTGCTGCTGGTGGGCACCTTGTGTCACTGGAGATGTCGAGCCGACAACGTCGAGCTGACAATGTCGGGCCGACAATGCCGAGCCGACACTCGCAAAATCTCTCAAATCTCAAGTTATGGAGGAGAGACGTCCTGGACGCGGCTACAGCAACGGCAAAGCCTTCTGCCCACATCTGTCGGGCGCTTCCAAGCTCTCGTCTTGCCTCTGAACCCAATGTGTGCCTCTCGGCTGGAGCCCAACAGAGCTTGCTCCTGGCCTTGCACTTCCGTGTGTAAACAAAGAACAAGGGAGCTCGTGCTTGGGTGGCTGCGACTGGCCGGTTGCTCGATGCCCACAAGCCCACAGCAGCCCCATGTAGGGGGCTCCCGGAGGGATCGAAGGGCTCGAAGGGAGCCCAGCGTTCGTCTGGGAACTGCTAGGCTGCTGCTAGACTACTCCCTAGACCGGGGGGCCTGCTCTGCTTTTCCTTGGGCATCCTTGCTGCCTTCCCTCGCGCAAAAAGGAAGGGTCATGGTCACTGAAATCGCTGTTTGTGGGGAGTAAGAGCGGCATAGGACTCTACACAAGGCCAAGATCTGGGCCGACTGTGGATTGCCGAAACCCTGAACCTGCTGTGCAGCCCGCAAGCGGTTCAGTCAGGCAGACGCCCAGGCCCAGGAAGGCAACAGGCCATAGGCGAGCGTGACATGAGATGCAGAGAAAGCCCGCAAGAAGACCCAAGAGTGGCTTTGGCGTGCCTGGTGCTCTTGGCCTGCCTCACAAATCTGGCGGACATCTGCTTCTCAGCTGTCAGCTGCAGGGTGCTTCAGGATGGCATGTTGGCTCGATCAGGCCGCCATGTGCCTCAAGACGAGCTTGGCACAGAGAGGCCTCAAGAAAGCAGCAGGGAGAAAGGCTCCGTGTTCGCGAAGGAAGGCGGGGTCAGCGACGGCTCGGCGTGCTGTGGCTGTACTTCGAAGACACAGAGCTCGGGGGAGGTTTTGAGGGCGTCAAGCAGTGAGGTAATGTGAGGGCCTGCATGCCATGCTGCCTATTCTGATGGAAGCGCTGTGGAGGTTAGGCCAACATCTGAGCTAATCAGATTTGCATTGACAGATCCAGGCCCCACTCTCACATCAACCTTATCAAATCGCATTGGCCTTGGCCCCTGGCAGAACTGATGCTTGCAGGTCAAAGGACGAGCAAAGCACTCATGTTCAGCAAAGCACTCATGTTCAGCACCCTACCTGACATTGAGCGGCACCCTGAATCACTGCTCAGGACGTCCTGGAAGCTCGGAAACCTCGACAAGCCGAACCGAAGGAATGCGTGCGGAGAACCAATTGGCCGGTCCAAGCCACCGAAGCACGGCTGTGTGTTGAATATGGTTGAATGGGCACCAGGGCTCCTGCATCCATCAGCACTTCTCTGACTGCACCCTACATTTGTGTCAAGACGGAGAAGTCTTGTGCTGGCTCGGCTGACTGCGGCTGTCCATCGGTTAAAACGGCTGAAACAGTGCTGGCACTCATGAGAAGCTCGGTAAAAGAGGCCACGGCATCAGCGTATGCTCAGGACTTGATTTCGTGCTCCCAAGGAATCAAATCTCAACTGGCACAATGGGCACATCGTACCTGCATCAACTCATTGCCTACAGCCTTCACGCATCACGCAAGCGACCGATGTCACTGCAGCGTCGGTATCCGGCACACGGTAGGCAATCAAGCTTGCAGCAAATCTTGGTGGAATCAATGCGGCTTGTGCCAGGACACGGCAAAGCCGTTGGTACGGCGTTGGCTGCAGACGGCGCTTGTGGCGGCCGCTTGTGGACTCTACTGCCAACGGATCTTGATCGCCCTGCTGGAAACAGTCCTGCGACAGTTTTGCACAGGTATTGGATTTTGCTTGCCACTTAACCTAACAGCAGAATCAAGCCTCAGGCCCGCTACTCAGGCCGTACAAAAGGCACAATCGAGCTTGCAACACGGCTTCGGCCAACAGATTGCAGGCAGGTCATTCGGCATGAAGACGCGGCTTCGCGAAGCAGCTGCACGGAAGCCAATGCTGATTAGGGATGCCGGGTTTTGGGGCTTCCCAGCACGAGAGCGTGTTCGTCCTCGTCCTCGTCCTGTACTTTGATGAAAGGCAATGTGGCGACATCTACGCTTTCGAACAAGGGAAATGCTCAGGGCTTGCCTGGAAACAAACTTGTGGCATTTGTGCACATAAAACGGTCTTGAACCAGAGACTTGCCCAGCAGGAGTTGTGAAGCCCTCTCGCAGACCCTCTACGCAGGCCAAGACGAAGCAGACACAATCCGTGCCCCACATAGCGGGTGTGGTAAACCTTTCGGATGTGTCCACATGGCACTCTGCAAAAGCTTGGCCGGACGGTGCACTGCCGGCTCCGTGGGACTAACGCTCAAGCTGCGTGCAAGCACAGGCCACCCGTCGTCCCAACATACCTCCACCAAGCAGCTCAAACAAGAGCTACGTCATCGGGGTTCTGGTCGGACCGTGATTGCAACAGCCCCCTGTGGAAGATGACACAATGCACAAGGCGCGTCTCAATTGGCTTGGAATACTGCATCTGGCCGTACCTGCATCACCTCATTGCCTACAGCCTTCCCGCATCGCGCAAGCGACCGATGTCACTGCAGCGTCGGTATCCGGCACACGGTAAGTAATCAAGCTTGCAGCAAATCTTGGTGGAATCAATGCGGCTTGTGCCAGGACACGGCAAAGCAACTGTTGGTACGGCGTTGGCTGCGGACGGCGCTTGTGGCTGCCGCTTGTGGCCTCTTCTGCCAACAGATCTTGATGGCCCTGCTGGAAACAGTACTGCGACAGTTCTGCACAGGTATTGGGTTCTGCGTGCCGTTTAGCTTAACAGCAGAATCAACCTACCTTCAGGCCCTCTACTCGGGCCTTGCAGATGGCGCAATCAAGTTTGTGGCATGTGCTCGCGTTGCGCGACATGGAAAGCAGCTGTGGGTGTGTTTTCCTGTAGGGATGAACCAGCCCAGGACGCTGAACACAGACGCCACTTTTGGCAAGGCTAAGACTGCAGGACTTTGGTGCAACCTTGTGTCGCAAGAGGAATAGCCTCAGTCTGCAACGGGTGGCTGTGAAGCTCACAGGTGTCAAGAGCCGACTTTGATGGCCTTGCTGCAAACATGGTTGGTCAGCCAGGCCTACGAACGCTCCAAGCACCGGTGCAATGCATTAGCCTTGTGGAATGGGCTTTGGGATCCCCGCGACGCTTGGCAACTGCTGAAAACTACACAGCCTTGGCAGAATGGGGCAGGTCCGCGAGTCTTCGCAGAGGCTCTGTGGGAAATTGCCTGAGGGCAAGATTAATGGCCCCATGTGAGATGAAGGGAGCTCTCTGTTGCATCTCCGCGCTGTCCGCATTGAAAACCTCGTGACAAATGACCTGACAGCTCATTCAAATCTTCGAACCCTTCTGCGAAAACTTGATATGAGGGGTGCTCAATTTTTGGGGGGACCATTGGGGGACCACAAGAGTCAACCATTAACTGCATCCTGCAACCCTAAGAGCCCATGACAAAACAACACTCAACAACAGCTGCTAAGAACGGTCTTGGGAACTGAGAGATCCCAGGGCAGCGCCGCGCCAGCAGCTGAGTGGCCAAGAAAGGCCCGGTCAGAACCACTGCGTCCTCGCTTCCATAGCCTGACTCGGGGTTTGGGCTTTCAGGCAGCTGATAACCCTGGCGACGACGTGGTGCTTGAACTTTTTAGAACTTTAGGACTTTAGGACTGTCTGCTTGCTTGGGTTTTTAGGTTTACTTCAGGGTTTGGGGGGGCTGTTTCAGTTCAAGACTTACGCACCCAAACCAACTTTTCGTGAAAGAAAACCGGCAGATATCATAGGCTCCCACCTGCAGCGACGAACGACATTGCATGCCGTGGGAAGGGCAGGCAACTCCTACGGTCACCATGCCGGGAACGGCTTCGGCCAAGGTTTATAGGGAGCGTATGAGAGAGCGAACACGTGAAACTTGCAAAACAGAGTGAATGGAGCTTTTGTTGTCGTATCATTTACGTTCGCTCCTTATTTATTAAAATCGCAAGTTTGTGCGCAAAAAACTCAAACAACAACACAACATGCATAATATGTTGATGGGAAAAGGTTCATAGCTCATTCGCATTTACGACAAGTGTTTTGTATTTTCCTCGTTCACTGGTTCATGAATTCATCAATCAGAATCCGAATTAGAAAGACTCACTCCGGCAAAGCAGACCGCCCGGACGACGTGCACGCCACGGCGACAAGGCTTGCCATCCGACAGCTTCAAGCATTGAACCCCGGGCCCGTGGCTTCTAAGCACGTGCTCGGGGCTGTCTGCAACGTGCGAGGTGCACACAACTGGAAGCGTTTGAGTCGGAGGAAAACTGCTTCCGGCTTTCAAGCAAATTTCTTGCGATGGGAGGCATTTGCAACAGTGTTGGCAATGGCAGAGCCAAGAGCTGCTGAACAGAAA